TAAGCCAGTTGAAGAGCTGTGTGGAGCCTCCAGTGTCATAGTTTTTACTGAAAGTAGGAGAATATGTGATTATGCCCATTGATGGACACTTGGGCTGCTCCCACCTTTTGGCTACTGTGAATAATGCTGCTGGGAACACGGCTTATAAATATCTGTTCCAGTCCTTGATTTCAATTCCTTTGAGTGTGTACCCAGAAGTGGGACTGCAGGATCATATGGTGCTATGGAATGAATGACCCCAGAGCTCACTGAAGCTTGACCCCCAGTGTGACAGTGTTAAGAGGGTGGGAAATCCGGTCATGATATTTGAAAGGTGGGGCCTTTCAGAGGTGATTGGACTGTGCCCTCCTGAATGGGTTGATCCCATTCATGGAGTAATGAGTTGATGGTTTAACGGGTTATCCAAGAGTGGTTCTGATGGCTTTATAAGGAGATCAAGGGGGCAGCTTAGCTCTCCTGCTCATGCCATTCTCGCCGTGTGACACCCTGGTCACCAGGGACCTGTAGAGAGTTCCCACCCAGAAGAAGGCCCTCACCAGATGCACCCCCTGACCCAGCCTCCAAAACTGTAAGAAGTAAATTTTGGCTTTTTATAAATGACCCATTTTCAGGTGTTCTATTATAAGCAAAGGAAAATGGACTAATACATGTGATAACTCTCCGTTTCATTTTTCTGAGGACCTGTACTGTCCCTACAGTGGCCGTGCCATTCTACACTCCCAGCCCACGGTGCACAAGGGCTCCAGTTCCTTCACATTCTTGCCAGCACTTCTTATTTTCTGTTGGGCGTGTGTGTGTGTGTGTGTGTGCGTGTGTTTTAAATAGACAACTTAGTGGGTGTGAAGTGGTATCTCACTGTGGTTTTGATTAGCATTTCCCTAATGATTAGTGACGTTGAACATCTTTCCATGTGTTTATTGGCCAATTGTGCATCTTTGGAGAAATATCTATTCAGGTTCTTTGCCTTTTTGTTTAAAGAAACATTTAAAATCTTTAATTTCTGTTTTCATGTTTTTCCTTCTTTTTGCTTCCAAAAGAAAAGAAGAGCATAGCTTCATCACCTGTACATAGTCCCCAGCCCGCCTGCCCACTGCCTTGGGGGGCCTGGGCAGCCCGGAGGACCACATGCAGCCCCTGGGACTGGGGCAGGGTGAGGTCCGGTGGTGTGCCTGCTGACTGGGAAGCCACCTTATTGCTGAGGTCTGGTGCGGCTGGCTGGGCAACTCCTGGACTTTGCCCATTTTTTAATTGGGTTGTTATTGTTGAGTTGTAGTTCATTGTATATTCTGAATATTAACTCCTTATCTGATACATGATTTGCAAATATTTTCTCCCATTCTGTGAGTGGCCTTTTCACTCTCTTAATAGTGTCCTCTGATGCACAGAAGTTTTTAATTTTCATGAAGTCAATTTAACTATATTTCTTTTGTTGCCTGTGCTTTGGGGGTCATATCCAAGAAATCCTGCCAAATCCAGTGTTATGAAGCTTTCCCCCTCATCCCCTATATTTCTAAAAGGAGCTTTATTTAACACTCAAAGTCCTGCTAAAATGTCCAAAGGAGTACTGACATATCGCAGAGTCGCCATAAACTCCATTTAAAATAATTTATGTAGGTGAAATTCACATACCATGAAATTAACCATCTTAAAGTGAACAATTGAGTGTCCCTTAGTACATTCACAATGTTGGGCCCATCCCCTATTTTTGCATCAATACTTCTTAGCTTACAGGCTATGTTCATGTCCATTTTCTCATTTACCTTTGCCGTAATCATGACAGCTGGACAGAGTGGCAACCCCATTTCACAGGACCGGGGAGGAAGGGGCGGGTCACCCACACTGAGAGCCATTGTGCAGCAGGCACTGTATCTGCAGGTTTTGGAGCCCATCTGAACTTTGCTTTCCTTGAGAAATGGAGAATGAGAGAATGTGGGCAGTGCTCCCTACCTGGGCAGGTGCTCCTTACCCGGGAAGGTGTTCCTGTTAGCTAGGCTCATGTGCCCCTCCCCTTTCCCTCTGGTCTCCTTATCTGCACCATCTTCCTTTATGTGGCTTTTCCACCTGTGGCTTTGATGGCTAGTTATCTCTACCTTGTATGTCTAATTCCATTAGCAATTTCTCAAGGATGGGGCAAAGCTTTCTGCAGGCACTTTTGAAGTACCTGTGGCATGAGCGATGGGGACTTATTAAAAAGCACAAAGCTAGGAGCCCCTTGGAGGTCACCTGGGCCAATTCTCTGGTTTTACAGATGAGGAAAGAGAGGTCTAGAGAAGGGAAACTGCAAAGCCCCGCATGCGACTGGGGCTTGGGCCCGGACTTCCCACTCCAACCTGGAGCTCCTTTCCTTAAACCATTCCATCTCTCGGAGGAGAAGAGACAGCGGAGAACCTGCTCTTGCTTGAGCCCTACTGGGTTCTGAGCTGCCGAGTGTTTACCCCCCTTGAATCCTGACCCGCCCTGCAGGGTTTGAACAAACAGGAAGCCGCAGCTTAGGGCTGTAGAGCCTGCCTGTCAGTCGCACAGCTAACACACTGGAGCCAGGCTCCAGCCCGGCTCCTGGCAAGCCCAGCTTTCTTCTGGGGACTGCCTCATGCCTCCAACCAGTCCCTGTGAGTCTCTCTCCTGAACACTGGGGATTCCCAGGTGACAGACCCAGGCCCTGCCCTCTGCTGAGGCCGTCAAGACCGAGGACACAGTGGAGAGAGCCAGACAAGTATGTGCAAAATCCGTTCTTTTGAAGTCAGTGACTTTAGTAACTTGTCGCTGCTCACTGATGCGAGCCACCGATGCCAGGCAGCCTGCAGGCCTGAGTGAGAAGGCCTGGGACTTCCCATGACTGTTAGGTTACCTAATTCGTGAAACGTGGTCCCGTGAGTCAGGCTGCTCTCAGGGTCTCACCAGGCTCTACCCAGGAGGAAGGGATGCCTAGGGCCAAATCCAGCCCACGCTCCCCCTTTTTATTATTACTTGCTTTGTAGTTATTTTTCCTTTTTGGCTGATGACAGATGTTTGACATTATTACTAAGCATTTCAGGTTTTTTTTTTTTTTAAATAGAATAATCGATTATTGGAACTAGAAAAGTCTCTTTGGAATCATTTCCCCTGGGTTTTATAAGATGCCTGTGACAGGGTCCACAGAGGAGAAGGCCAGCTGGGTCTGGGACCCCTCCAAGTTCTGGAGCCAATGACCAGGCACCACACCGGCCTCATGGACTCACTTACTGTCCCCTTTCTCTGGCCTCGGGTGGAGCTGGAGGAGGCCCACGGTCCACAGGGGATCAGGCCAGGTCTGGAGCTGACCAGGAAAGAGCCCTGCCAGGCCTCAGGCCTCTGCCCCTTCTCAGTCCCCAGCTCCCTGAGCTCCATTCCAGCAGTGGCCACCCCTCCCCATTTCCTGCTGAATTTTAAGTCAACCTCTTCCTGGACATGGCCAGCCTTAAGTTAACCAGGCAGAATTATTAACCAGGAACGAACCTTCCCACCCGCTTCCCCGCCGTTTTTCCGGCTGTCCACTCCACACCTGGCCAACTCCCCTGTCCTGGCACAGGAGGACTTCCTGGAGGCGGTGGCAAGAGGCGCGCCCGGCTTTTATCCCTCCACGCTCTCCGGGGGAACCCTGGGGACTCACAAAACTGGTGACCCTTTGTGTCCTGCAGCCCCGGGTCTAAATGACGCCACCGGCACCTGGGGACCCTGCCCATTCCTTCCTCTGTTCCCCGGGTAGGGGGTGGCCGGCGAGGGGGAGGCCACCGGAGGGGTGGCCAAAGCCGCGCACGCGCCGGCACCCGCAGGGCTAGTTCGGAAATGACGACCGCGCGCGGGTCCGGGTCAGTGCCCGCCCTGACGGCTTGTCCTGACAGTTCCAGGCCCCACCCAGGCCCGCCCTCCCTTCCAGTCCCCGCCCCCGATGAAGCCTCCCCCGGCCCCAGACCTCGTACCTACCCGGCGGGCTCAGGATGTCCGCGTCTCGCCTCTGCTAGGCCCCGCCCCCGCAGGC